CTGCAGGTTCCAGGAGATGTGTTACAAGGCTTACTTGGCCATCAGACAGCACGCCAACCTTTTCATAAACCTCTTCTCTATGATGCTGGGCTCAGGCATGCCCGAGCTGCAGTCCTTTGATGACATCGCTTACATCCGAAAGACCCTGGCCCTGGACAAAACCGAGCAGGAGGCCCTGGACTATTTCATGAAGCAGATGAATGACGCTCACCATGGTGGATGGACCACCAAGATGGACTGGATCTTCCACACAATCCGACACCATGCCCAAAACTGAGCAGAACTTAGGGCCGGATAACAGGCAGAAACGAGACCCTTTTTGTAGGACGCACTGCCTGCTTTATGCCATGGAGAATCATGGCACACAAACCTCATGTACAAATGACCTTCAGAGCACTAAAACAACCTGAAAGGACATCTTTTTTTTTATTTTTATTTTTTTTCCAAATGAGGCATCTCTTGCCCACCATTTTCCAGAGTGGTTTTACATTATAGCTGTAGTTTTGTCCCGCTGTTTTTTTTCTCTCTCCCCTTTGTGCTGCTCTTTTCCTGGAGAGTCAATTCTTCTTCTTATTATTATTATTATTAATATATATAATTTTTTTCTATGGAAAACAAACCTTTGAGAAAAAAAAAACCTTCTGCACTCTTCAGGAGCTTTTCTGGGGATGTTCATGTCTTCCTGTTTAAAACTACAAATGCCTTCTAATATGCACGGAACCTCTGAGAACACTCTAGAAAAACAGGGTATGAAACTTTCTGGTCTGCTACCTGGCCTTTCCGCTCAAAACCAACACTAAACCCCCCTGAAAGACAGCCGAGGCGTAGCAGTACAAATCTGATGGTGCTGATTTCCAAATTGCGCTCTTATTCTTTGAGTTCAGTTGGCCACACTGGCTTTTACAATAGACGGATGATTTGTTCTCCTTTCTTCCTTATATGCACAGTGAGCTAAAATGATAGCCTGAATACCTTATTATGCACTGGACGTGAATATTTTGATTTTGTTTTTATTACGATCTCACATTTTGGCCTCACAGTAGCACTACATGAGTCTCATTCTCTTTAAACAGACTTTTTTCAGAGACATTGGTAAAACATGGTTTGTGTTCTCAATATGCACGTAACGCACTACACAATAACAGTTCAGATCCTCAATGGAAGGAAGTAATCATTTTTTGGAGTACGGTATGGTTTTTTGATGGCCAGTACTGATGGCGACATGTGAGCAAATCAATGCGGGTTAATTATTTCACTTATTTAACAACGTTTACTCCATATATTGAGTTTGAAACATTTGAACAATGTTTATTTTCCATCAACGAGGCTTTCGGTCAATACCCATGTTTTTAAAATGGCCAAATATTGGCAAACTAATCCGTCTGGCTGATATATATATCGCTCTATTACTAATCAGGACTTACAGTTTCATTTGTACTCCCAGATCAGTGGTTTTCCCAGTTCCAGTGTGCGAAACATCACCTGAATCCAGGTTATCGGCTCTGTGTTCTCTTGGCTGTCCGAGTAACGATTGTCCTACCAGATGCCCTGGCAGCGTGCAGATATGAAGCCTTAATACACTCGCTTAGTATGAATGGATGTTCGTCTCCTCCATGGGCCCTTGCATGCCACAGGAAAGCAAACGCTTGTTGGTGCTTTGACGCTAAGCAGTTGCGAAAGAACAAAACAGCTTTTTATCACCTTCGGTTGAGTCGCCGTATCTCTGGGTACTTCCACTACACTAAAGCTGGCAAGTCCTTTTCTGTTAGCCTGATAATATATATATTTTTTTTTACAGGTTGTAGTTTGTACAAGAAGCATTAAGAAAGATTGTGCTGTGTAGTTACACATTATATTGAAAGATTCTATGGACGAAATGTATGTTTTAGACGGTGAAATGGCTTTTAGATGCTTCAAGTGGAAGACGCTGGTATAATATTGTTTACCGATAACACTACAGTACAGTGCATTATAACTACACATACATTTATATACATACATGCTTATATATGTGTATATATACGCACTCTGTTCCTCCTCGTCTCCTTTTTCATTACTACATACAATGTACAGTGAATGTTTCATGGTGCAGGATGTCTCTGATGTGACAGTACAGGGCTAAACAATCTAGAGAGAAGAGGGAAAAAAGGTAGTTAGCTTTAGATCATTTTAAATGAACTAACTAATGAGCGCCTCTTGAGTCAGGTTAAGTGCCTTGCATGGGGCCGTAATGGCAGTGTTACGTTTGAGCTGCTCCCTTCGCCTGTTGATTTACCAGCTTTCTGGCTAACAACACTCTCGCTTTGCCGTCTTGAGCTACGAATCGAAACGTGAGATTCCAGACCAGGTTGTATCCAATCAAATAATCACACAGTTAAAAAACATTTACTCGCCCTCATGTCGTTCCAAACCTGTATGACTTATGACTTTCTTCTGCAGAACACAAAAGGAAGATATTTTGTAGAACGTCCAAACAACATTGGACACCATTGACTTTCATTGTATAGAGACAAAAGAAAAAGATATGGGTTGACGTGAGGGTGAGTAAATGATGACAGACAGTTTTCTTTTTAGGGTGAACTATTCTTTTAAGGTTTGCGTTTGACACAGATCCACGTTTTCGCTTTCTATCCCTCCTCGGCTCTTGTCAGTTAATTCAAGCCCTTGTCATGATTCTGCATTACTTTAAAGCTGTGAAAATGTACAATTACAAATGAGGTGTAATCGTGCTATTTAAATGGATATATGGCTACTATAGGCAGGAAACCCCTGAGTACTATTTTTCCTCTCACACAGTTGTATTTTCCTCAGTAGGAAAGTCAATGATCATACTTGCATAACCACCTGAGCTATAAATGATCAGATGAAGATCTGATCGCTCGATGTAGGAAAAACAGAAGGAAGTGACGTGCATTTCCATATTAAAGTCTTTGCAAAGCTGAAATTCAGCTGAAATACTGGGCAACATTTAACAATGCAAATTGTAATGATAGACAGTTTGTTTTTCTACTGTTTTTAAGTTTGAAAGGGTGTCCTGAGTACTTAATATTGTAGTATTCCACACTTATGCATTCATTTGCTATATGTTTTTTTTGTAAATCTTGTTGTTACTCTTATATGCAGTAAACAAATGAACAGATACACACTTGGCGTCAGACTGATGTATGCAGGTGGTTCTTGCACTTTGTATTCCTCCGTTCTTTGTTCTTTCTCTCTTTGCCTTCGGTCCTGAGGGACGCTTTAGTCTCCTGCATGTGTTTTTAACCCTACCTGCTCATTTACTGCCTGAAACTGAGGTCAGCTACATTAGAGCTTAGTTATGGTAAGCAGCCTTATGTTAGCTCTCTTAAAGCCATTTAATGCATGGTTCTATTCACTATGTGTGTTTTTGTCTGTACAGGTTACAGATCTTCTTGGGCCGGACCCGCTAAAAAGCCCATTCACAAATGTCTAATGTGATCAGTATCTTTATAATTTACCTAACTTTTTTTTTTTTTTACGACTTGCTAACAAACTATTGAGATGCAGAAATTCTGGAGTCTTTTGTATGACAAATGAAAATAAGAAAACGATTACAATTTGTTTAATAAGTTTCAGTTGTTGTACTTGAAAATCATCGCTCAGAACCGTCTTTGTGTGTCGACAACAAAGCCGTCAATGTTGCGTAGCACTGAAGGTTTACTTGCATAGGCAAGTTCATACCGATTGTGAATGTTTTAGTGGTTTGGTCTGGAGTCTTAGAAACTCTACTACACCAATAAAAAGAGAGGAAAATTACTATTTGAATTCAAAGGAAAATAAAATGTAAATTAATGTGCTATTATGTGAAGTTTGTCAGATGGAGGATATTGAAAATTCTATATAATGGAAGTTCAAAGCATTTTTTTTTAAATGCTTTGGTTACGTTTCTCTCTCGGTATTGCTGTTGCATTTATTTTACTTATTTACGTGTTGAATTATGATGTCATAAAGATATACTTTTTTTTTTTTTACTATCACTATTATAAAATTATATATAGCGGGCCAAATACTTTCTTTACCTCCTTCCTTCCTTGCATGGGATTTAAAAAAAAAAAGGAAAAAGTCAAAAGCTGAAAAAATTTGCCCTAGTATTTTTGATTATTTGTAGATGTAAGGGAGTTTTGGCCTATGACTGCACTCTGTAAAAACTGCCATCAGTTACAAAGCCTCATCTTCATTTCTATTCGGTTTCATTGTGCACCTCAGTTCAAAAGTAGCTTTGTATCCCGTCTGTCTTCAATATTTTGAGTGTTATGTGACTATGTAAAAATAAACGTATTTCAAGAATTTTCCTTACTGTTTTACTTAATATTATGTACATGTTTGTGTATATGTATCTGAATGCCATTAACATTCGCAGTTTACACTGTCAGTGTAACAGTAGATAGACTAGAACATTTTGAGACACCAAAATGGCTTAACCTTGTGTATGTGACAAATGCTTGTCTTAAAGTAAAAAAAAAAAAAGTTGATGGTGACTGAGTCAACCGGCCAGACAAGGTTTATACTTTATACCCAAATGTCAAAAAAAGTACTCGAATCAAAGAACAGCATATGAAGCTCCATTCTTAAAGGATCATTAACTAAAAAAAGTTGTTTCAGTGTTTAGTTACCCTTTAACATGATGAATGTCACGCATTTTACTTCTTTGATTAGTGACCACAAATCCTTATTAAACAAAAATATTTTAAAAAGTTACATATTTATAAAATGTTTAAATTACATGTACATGTTTAAATTAGATATTAAATCCTTGATTTTCCAATGTGGCCTCAGAATTTGATAACGGTTTTATTTAAGTAACAATGAAAAATATTTGTTAAATTATAGCACTAATATAAAAAAAAAAAAAAAAAAGTAATTTACACACAAAATAAAACGGATTTCTTTAAAAAAAATTAAAAGATGCTCGATCTCTACCATGTGATTGCGAGACTTTTATTATGAACTGTTCAACTTCCGGTGCGGTGATGCAGGACGTGCAAGTGTTTAGATGTCTCGTGTTTGCAATTTTCTTCTGCCATTGCAAATAAATTTTTTCCTTCAATGTTTAGTGACAGACTGCTCCACAGTTTGCTTTCAGGTGCAGTGAAGGACTTCTGATGTTAATACGCGTTGCTGAATGAGTCATGTGACGGCGGTAAGTGACTTGTACAATCATGTGCAGTAACGTTAACTGTTGCTTACATGCCATCCTGCATCAAGGTTCACGGATTATTCATGTATGGATTTGCATATTTAAAAGAACGTCTGCTGCTGACTTTCGTTAGAGCTGACATCTTTGAAGGTTTCTTGTTTGAAATTGTCATTTGACCTGAATGACTTAAAGGGACAGTTCACCCCAAAAAAAGAAAATTCTTCTGAAATAATTTACTCCCCATATGTCGTTTTTTTCATTGTAGCAAAAACCGTGAGATATTGAAGAGTATCTTCTGTCCATTTAATGAAAGTGAATGGAGAGTGAAAAAAACACACAATAAAATGATCATATAAATTGTCCATATGACTTGTTCGCTATATTCCAAGTCTTCTAAAGGCATAATATATTGCATTATATCAATAAAATAATTTTCTCACTCTGTCATTCCAAACCTGTATGCATTTCTTTCTTCTGTGAAACATAAAATGATGACAAAATAATTTTAATTTAGGATAACTAGGCTAACTATCCATTTAAAAGAGTAGTTGAGTAGTAAAAGACATATGACATTTTAAACTAATTTCCTTCTACACTTGAACACAGTGAATGTTTGAATAACGACCTTCCTGCCCTATTCCATACTGCGAATGTGGACTGGGCTGTCAAGCTCCAAAAGAAAAACACACAGAAAAAAAGTTTTATAAAAATGGTCCATATGACAAATGACTTTATTATAAGTCTTCTGAAGTTATATGACTAATTTATGTGATGAACAGGCCTTAATTTAAGTCTTTATTTATTCATCCCCTTTTCTGTAGCTAAAAAAACAAAGATAGTAACCTCAAGTCAAGCGCTTTATACAATACAGATTGTTTTAAAGCAGCTTTACAGTGATGATAGGAACATTATGCTTTTTGGCTGCTGTTCAGCTGAAGTCAGTTCAGTGTTGATTCAGTTCCGTTGTAAAGATCATCAATTATTAAATTAGTTCTTCCAAAAATGATGTCATCGTCCAGTTCAGTTCTCATAAAACAGAATCAGTACTGTCAGATCAATAATATAGCTGAATATTAAGTGTCCCCAACTCAGCGTGACAGAAGGAACCCAAACTTCATCAGGTGACAGAATGGAGAAAAAACCCTGCGGAAAAAAACTTGGGAGTCATTAGGTATAATATCAAGTGTGAAGTGACATTTTCAGCTCAGCAAATGTCATTGATAAATTCCTTTTTCTTGCATTCAAGACATGATCGGAGATTAGAGACGGTCAACAAGACGAGAAAGAAAGGGCATCCTGACCTATTTTGTGCATGTAGAAGTGGATCCATGGGTGTCCTGCGGGTCCTGTCGGTCACCATGGGAAGGATCAGCACTTTTAGGTCCTATCAGATCATGCTGCTTCTTGCCGCAGCCTTGGCGGTGGTGGCGTTCTACTACTTTGGCTCCGAAAAGCAGAACTTCTCCAGCACCACAAAGCGGATCAAGGAAACACAAGCGAGCCACAACACCAACCGCGATGATGCTGATCTTTCCATAGACATCCGGTCCGGACGTCCAGAAAGCAGAACTGGAGATGACCTGGAGGGAAAGCTGTCACGCTTTCATGCTCTCATGATGTTCACCAAGGTTGACAAGAGCTTGACCCTTCAGCAGAAGTTTCAGGTGGTCATGCGCTCCATGGCCAAACATGGACGGTTCTTGGAGGATGAGATGCTGGTTCTCCACTACGTCTCTGATGCGGGCAGTCAGGAGCTGGGGGAGAAGATGCTTCCTGAACTTCTGCTGGATGCAACCTTCCTGTACAAGGTATGTCAGTGGACATCCATGTTTTGCAATGTGTGCTGATGCAGCAAAGACTTTGATGTCTTTAAAATATTTGCAGTCTGAATACATTTGAATAATAATAATTATTATTATTTGGAGTTGGAGTGGTTCAGAAGATGATTATAATATTATAATACATTGTTATAATCATATCATATAATATAAATCACACTGTATATATTACATATAATAAACAAAACAAAAATTATATGCATATTAACCTCATATTAACATATTCATTTTTTACAGTCTATGATATTAACGGACATGGTTTTGTTATTAAAGGGAAAGGGATCTTTTTTAATCCTGCTGCCTGCTGCTTTAGTTTTGCCATCACCCTAAAATGAAAACTAAGTCATCATTTACAAACCCTGGCGTATGTCCTTATTTTATGGACCACAAAAAGGAGAATTAAAAAAAAATGTCCCGCTCACGTTCGTCCATATACCGGCCGTGAATAGCAGCCAGCATCAAACCTTTTAAAAAAGATGCAAAAGTATCACAGAATGATCCCATGCAACACATGTGTATTCCAAGTGGGTTTACGATTGGGTTTAGTGTCCGAAGTTAATGGAACCGTGGCTTTAAAATACAGTATCCTGCCTGAAAAAGGGACGATTTTTTTTTCCTTGTTAAAAGCACAAAGGCATTCTGTGCTGTTTGCAAGCACAGCAGGTGGCAGTGCAGGAAAGCTGAACTCCGACAGGACTAGAGGTCACACCGCAGACGTTTCCTTTACATCAGCTCACAGAAGAACAACACACAGCTCTCACACTGCAGTACTCCCTCAGGACCGCTCAAACTGACTGTTATCAAACACTTTCACACTGTATATCAGATTTTTCAGTTCATCAAAACAACTGGGCTCATTCTGTGAACACACTTCTTATCAAACTATTTAAGCTTAAATCAATAAAAATCGAGCAAGCTATGTGGATCTTTTTCACTGAACGATGACTGGGATTATTTTAGTGGTTAAATAATGCAGTCAAATAGTCACCCATTTGTTCAATAAATCACACTTTAGGAAATGAAGAATAAAGTAAGGCTTTCATTGGCTGTGTGTTGGTCACATGGGGGCAGTGTTACTCTATCACAGTGGGTTTTTGTGATTCCTCTTTGAGCTTTAGGATCTTTGGTCTGATCCTGTTGTTGAGGATTTGTCTGTGGAAGCATGAAGTAAACTTGGCCTAGTTCAGGCAGATAGGTCATCACTGGACTCTTAAGGTTCGGATATTTTCTTTATCTCAGTTGATTGATCATGTAAAGGCAGCCAGTGCAACTTTTCTGCTGTGGATCATGTATCGAGCAGACAGCAGTGTTTCCTGCCTAGCAACAGTTGCCGGGCATTAGTGGAAGCTGATCCTCTGTCTTGGACTGGCGCAGTTTAGCAGGGATGCTGTGAGACTGAGGTGCAGATTACCTTCCTTTAATCCAGACTCATTCAACACACACACACAATAAGATAATGAGTATTTGGCTTAATGCAACATCCGATAATCATCGTCACCCATCCCAACATGTGCTGCAACATTTTGATTAAAGCAGTTTTAGACACACACACACACACACACACACACACACACACACACACACACACACACACACACACACACACACACACACACACACACACACACACACACACACACACACACACACACACTCACTAAACAAGAGCCTATTTTTAGTGGATTCTAAATTTGGATGATGATGATTGTTGTTATTTGGAGCAGTAGCTGTAGTAGTGGATGATATATTATTATTATATTATTATAGAAAACTAACTATTGTTGTAATAGTAATAATAATAATAATAACATTCAGTGGTGAGGGTGATGATTATGATTGTTGTTGTTTGGAGTAGCAGTAGTTGTACTATTAGTAGAATATATATATATATATATATATATATATATATATATATACGTATATATAAATTTAATTATATTTTGTAAATTTTAATTTTAATTTTGTAAAAGAATTAACTGTTTTAGTAGTAGTGGTAGTAATAATAATTTATATATATATATATATATATATATATACATATAATACTCCAATACTTTTTTTAAATGCATTTCAGTTAATGTTTTATTTAAAGCAACACATTTTTTGTTGTTGTTTAATTTTAGTTTCAGTTAACTATAATAACCCTATAGTCCATTCATATGCATGCAATTTTTATTTTTTTTATTTTTTATGAATTAATTATTTTTAGAGTGTCATGTTGGCATGTGTTTTTTTAGCGCAGGCTGTTTTGGGCTCCAGGTTATAGACTGAACCTGTCTCACTCTCAAAACTGCGCAGACACTGACAGCGTGGAAAGTTCCACTATCACTGCGGGCTCACAGACTCCCACACAGTCTCATGATGAGATAAATCCAGTATGAACTCATCAGACATGTGTTCTCTGGGGGAGAAAGGTCATTATGGTTTATTGAGCTCTTTGCGGAACTGAATGAAGTGTGTAATGCACAGTACACATTGTATGATTTTGGGCAGTCCCAGACGAAAGATGATCAATCACGTCCATATTCTCCTCTTTCGCTTCCTCCTCTTTTTTTTCAGCGCACATAAAAACCACAATTGCCAAAGTGCGATTCATCTTGCTCTATTTTGTTACCACTGACATTTAATTCTTCTATAACTTGCGCCGTAGCCTACGATTCAATTAATAGGTGTCATCATCGTACAGTCTACATACGTGGCGCATCCAAGTTTATTAGATCCATGTTGTACAGTGTGATTTGTAATGATCTTAGGATTGCCGAAATCGTACAGTCTGTAGCCAGCATACAAGGTCGATGGTTTGCAGAATCCGGGTTTCATTCCGTATTGCAGTTTGACAGCATTGGCAGATAAAGGTATTGATTGATTGGTTTCATATTTTTGGTTATTTACCCCATAGTATTATCATGGTATTCTCTTAAGCATATGGGACTATTGGACTAGAACATTCAGATTGTCAGTGATACTTTTGCAAGCATCCAGTCTCATATAATAAAGTACTGTCTCACTTTATTATAGAAAATCAGAAGCACATAAATGACCAGCAGGCTCTGCTTCAAGTCCCCATGAGCATTAACGCGTTCATAAGCATTTAATTTAATAATACCACAGGCATTTTTGCACAGTACTTAATGTGCTAGTAATGGAGATTACACTGAGCTCTGGATGCCGAAACACATTTGAATTCCTGGAAGAGATAGCTGGTCCCTGCAGTTACTTCATCTATAAAATAAAACTAGTGCTTACTGGTGTAGTTTCTGTTCCTAACTATTAGTTCTTTTCAAGTGAAATGAGGAATTCAAATGAGTGCTCTGTTCTCTTTCAAGTTCTTATGAGCAAAATGTTTCGTTTTCTCTGTTAATTTCTCATTGCTTCTGCATTATTTAGCAGTTTTCTTATTAAAAATTCAGGGCAATATCACAAATAAACTGTGATGAAATATTGAATGGGTGCTCCCAACTTGATACTTTTAGAGCAGATTATTATTATATATTATTTTTTTTATGGTGTTTTGATGATGTACGCACACTCATCAGGGGATATCTTTACATTTTAACATTCAGGAGATATTTTTATCCATGGCAGCTTAGGTTTTTGATAGAATCTCAAAAAGCCTTTTTAATTTTTTTTAAATAACTCTTAAAAATTAAAATGACGATGTATTGCTGTCATGGCTCAAGAACGAGATTGGTGCTCAAGAAACATTTCTTATTATTATCAATGCTGAAAACAGTTGTGTTTCTACTAACAGTTGTGCAACAAATAACAGCATTCATTTGAAATAGAAATATTTTGTAGCATTATGAATGTATTTACTGTCATTGATCAATTCAATGTGTTCTTGCTCAATAAAAGTATTAATTTCTTTAAAAAACAAACAAATAAGCGAACAACAACAACAAAGAAAAAAACATACTGACCCCAAACTTTTGAACGGTAGTTTGTTACAGTTCATGCATTCACTGGTAATCAAACCCACGACTTTGAAATTGCAAAATTCACTTCACTTGGCATTTGTATATATTTGTAATCATTACATTTTCCTTCCTAGTCAATTTTCTAAAGAAGTGAAATATTGATAATTGTCTTCCCATTATCTTTGAATGGAGAATTCAAATTCTCAACTTCTATTTTGAATCTCCGTCCTGTGTAGCCGAGTTTGCAGGACACAATTGGGCTGTTGGAATTGACCTATTTAGGGTGAAATGAGAAAAACGTCTTTGTGAATCAACCTGGTCGCTTCAACTTTCAATTGTACATTTGTCAGAATTTTGCATTTCCTGACTCCAAAGATACAAGGTGAAGAAAGTCTTGATTGTGTGAAGGTTTCAAAGAAAATCTGCCTCTAGATACAACTAATATTTGTCTTACTGTACTTTTGCACATATTTCCACACAGACAAAACTTTAAAATGCTTGGTTTGTTACAAAATCATTATCAACTGTGTTCCTTGAATCTTCTGAGCTTGTGCTGTATTAGTGCTTTTGTTTCGCCAGACTGAAGGTGGAATGCTAACCCTATGGCAGAAACATATTATACCCCTGCAATCAAAACCTTAATGGGAAATCTGTGATTACTGAACACCCATCCCCCCTCCACCTCCATCGTCTTTGTGCAAGCTAGCGAAAGATACACATTATCTGATTGCATGAGTCGAGTCGACGCCAAAGTCTTGCATTGCGGAGCAGGATTTGGCGGCTGGTTGCACTGCAGACAAACACATGTATTGTGTGCTTTCAATGGAAGGAGCAGTAAAAGACGACTGTCAAGGCTCAGTGAGCCAAATTGTGAACACCTGAGAATGAAATCTCTGTGCCAAAAGATGGCAGAAATACAGCTCACTCCTTTCCACCCATGCACCGAATTTACAAAAATGTAGTGTCAGAGTCACTAGGGTCACAAAAAAGTCCTCATTTATCACATACATTTCTGTTGTCAATTCCAGGTGGTGTTTCACAATGTAGAAGCCCTTACAGAGAAATTATTCCCCATCGTGGAAGCCATGCAGAAGCACTTCAGTGCAGGATCCGGCGCGTACTACAGCGATGCCATCTTCTTCCTGTCGGTGGCCATGCATCGCATCATGCCTGCAGGTGAGATACGTGCCTCGGCATTGCCATTGTTTATAGGCACAGGAAAAGCAATTGCAACTTTTATTTAGCTTTTTTTAATATTGTAATGTTGATGTCCATTAATAAACCGGGCATTGTATATTACAATATTGTTGGCTCTTTGACAAATTGCTTCTGTTCCTCTTATGGAAGTTGTGGACAGTTTGTGGACAATAAAGACCAAAGAACTAAACCAAAGTCCTTTTAGGCAAGTCATGCCACTCGGCCGCCATCTTGGCAACGCCTCCGGGCAGCTATTTCGGTCTAACAAGACCAGGCTCCTATCTAAATGAATGGGCAGAGAGTCAGAACTGCACTTTCACTGGTCACCGGGACATAAAAACTGCTTGTATAGAAACCGCAGTAAAACATGATAAAAATCGCTGAAAAAGTTTGATGACTTTGGCCCAAAATAAGGTTTAAAAGGTCTTTTTCCTCACAGGTTATACGTTTACTACGCATGCGCAAGGGTTCTCGTTTCCGCTGTCGCAAACCTCAACTGTGCGCATGCGTCAGTGGAACCAGACGATAGGCTTACATGTTTCCCGGCTTGACTGTTAAAAGCAGACGATTGGCTTTACAGCGGGAGGGGCGGGGCATGTGCATACAACCGCCATCTTTGGCGTTACGGGTTTTCCCTATATAGTTGTATTGAGGATTGAGGAAGTGGCATGTCTCTATATAAATTGTCTCTGACTAAACTAAACCCAAAAGTTAAAAATTTGTAGTTTCTGCAACACTAGCATCTCCAGAAATTGCAGGAATAATGACTGTTTCCAAACATGGAACCACATAAAGGCCATGAATTTCTACTTGTCTATTTTTTTAATCTTGAGGGGAAAAAAAGTTATTAAATGAAACATCTAAAAGCAATGGAAAATTATATTGTATTAATAATAACTGTTGTTGTTGTTAATTTTTTGTCTTAAGAAAATATATATAAATATATAAAATATATAAATATAGGTATAAATAAAATATCTAAAAATAATAACAAATTCTACTCTAATAATAACAATAGTATCAGTAATTATTATTATTCATCACCTTTAAGCAGTTCCTGTGACACTAAAATCATACAATAAAATATAACAATAAAAACAATAAAATATAGAAATAAAAAGTTATAAAAATTGTATAGTTGTTGTTGATTATTTTTATTGTTATTTTTATTTTTTGGTTTTGTATGTGTCTATCTATTTATCTATCTGTCCATCCGTCCGTCCGTGTTTTTTATGTATGTGCGTGCTCGTTTATATATGGCTTTTGTTGTCTTCCAGAGTTCCAGTACTGTCAGTTAGAGAAAATAGTCATTATTTTGCTTAGTGAAGCTAATGTCACATCAATTACATCACCTTTAAAGGTGCTCTAAGTGATGTTGGGTGACGTCACTTCTTGTTGACGTTCGAAGTATTGTCAAACAAAACGGAGGCTAGCTAGACCCAGCCTCCTCCTCATCCCGTCCCCTCCCCCTGTAGTTTTACTGATACTTCATTCAATGTGTAATGTCGCCAAGTTAGATAAATACTTTCATATAATGCAGAAAAAGAGAAACATTACCAGAAAAACACAATTAAACGTTTCACCACCTGAGGTTATAACTTTAGCTCCCATACAAGGACACAATAATAGCAAGATAACGTTAGCTTCGCGTTTCCTAGTGAGCATAAACAACGGCTCCGTCGTAATTTTTTAGTCAAATTTAGTCAATAGGCTATAAATGAACATTTCAAATTCATAACAAACAGTTGGTGAAAACAATCATTCACAGAAACTGTCTCCCTACTGTGAGTTTGCTTGATCATTTACAATAGAGATCGATAGCTAGCTGCTATAAACCTATATGTTGTATTCCCCTAAGTTAGCGCTGACTGCATTGTTCTAGCTAATTATATCCTTGTGTTTGTTAGGCGAACATGAAAGTCCATTTATAAAACCCAAACTGGATTTACTCACCTGTCCAGCAAAAACAGAGCTACCTGAATGTCGAATGTCGGCGGAGTTCTCGCCACCTTTCAAAGACTTTTCCGATGTAAATTCGGGACTTCGCGTGTTCCTTCTCTTTTTCCCTCTTCTTTGCATTTTTCTGTTCATCGGAATGTCGTCTCTTTGGTCGTGTGTCGGCCATATCAAACTTAGAGTTATAATTCTAACTTCCCTCTTCATGCTTCTTTCTCCTCCACACCCCCCTTCATGTGTTCGCGCTCTAATCCCACCCCCAAATCCTTCTTGTCGGTTATTGACTGGAACACTGTTTGTTTTGTTTCGTGGTGCGGGTTGGCCCAGTTTGTTTTTGTTGCCGTTTGTGGAACCTGGTGTGTCTACAGAGACAGTGTGTTCAGGGGACAGGCAGCTAGCGTATAGTGAGGAGATGTTCGCTGTATGTGACAAAATGTTTTGGCCTAAAAACGCATGACATCATTTAGAGCACCTTTAACATTTTAAATGTATATTTAGAAGTAGCATTCTGTCTGTTCTGTAAGTCAGAATTATTATACTGATAGAATTAGGATTAACCCACTTTTTCACAACAATATTGTGACCCAACTTTTCCATTTGAAAAGTGGCAGCTGCAGAACATTCAGTGTTCATGTAAACTTCCCCATCACACTTCCTGCCGCACATTCTAACCATGTTATCTAAAGGTCAGTACATTCGGCCATCCTGAAAGGACATTTGGACATGAGGCCGCTGATGGTGTCATATGTGCCGACTCACTCACAGGTGCTGAACGGGCACATGGCACAGCGCTTGGCGGGGCGGGGCGGTCCTCTGTGACACTTCTGCCACTCGCTCTCTCTCACATTGAAACAAATGGTCATCCAGGCATCCAGGCATCCAGGCATCCAGGCATCCAGGCATGGTTTGCTGTGCCAGCAGAATGCCCAGATGAGTTTGCTGCTACACTAAATGCAAATCACTGGACTCCTGTCAGCCTAACAAATCAATGATACCATGAGAGAGTAAAGACCTATGAGTGTTTGATAAAGCTTTTAGGTTCATGGCTGTGACAGAATCCTGACGTCACTTTTCTTTCTTGGAACTAAACAGTATATCATATTAGGAAACACCAATAATCTATAGCAATAACATTAGCAGACATTTGGACATTTTGGAATACTTGTTTCAGGTCAATTCTGGTCTTTAAATGTGTTTTGTAGTGTGCAATTTTTGGGTGGGCCGCGTGTGTGCGGTTAAAACATAACTGCAGCTGTTTCTGAATATTGATTTTTTCAAAAAAAAAAGGGAGGGGGGGGACAAGCACGAAACTTAGTAAATAAAATAATTCTATATACACAATTTAATAACAAAGTTTTATATATGCATGGGGTCTTCATCAACTGAAGGCATGCTTTCGGAGTTTCCATGGTTGACGTCCTCATAAAAGAGTCTACTGGAAGTGCTGTAGTGTTGCTGTACCATAGCCTACTATAAATGTGAAAAGTACAATAATATACTGTTTCTGAACAAATAATGCAGTAAGTGATGTTTAGTTTTAATTGTCAGAATCTATTGTACATGACGAATAAAAAAAATCACAAACATGATGCTTAACTTACCTGATAATTTATAATTTAACGAATAAATAATTCAATAATAAAATAATTGTGTATACCGGTATATATTCTACAGTTTATTAATATGTAATGTAATGTAATTTTATTTCAAACGAATGAGTAAATTCTGTTGAATCCAAATAGCTCTAAAATAATTTTAGAATGGTTATCTGAAACTAAAGGCGGCATCTGCAACTGAAGGCACACCGCTCGCACTCCTGTCTTGACGGCTTTGTTGCTGTAGACCATTTTAAAATTTTAAATAGCTTCACAAATTATGTTTAGGTATCTGTTTCTCAAAAAAAAAAAAATCAGCAGTGATTGATTTTTATTGTTACTTTCAAAGATTATTATCAAAATACTCTCATTTTAAAGCGAACGCTATTCTGTACTTATTTCGCTCTGGAAACTGAATGAAAAAATCTGTTAGCTAAGAACGAACCAAAATGAAAACAATTAATTTTGAATGCATGTATTTGACAGCCTACACCCATCCACTCCTCATCTTGTTCTTCTGAGTGGGAGATCTTCCCAGGGCAGTACTGCCTCTCAAACTAAAATCAGGAAGCCCACTCTGGGGCCGGGCCCTCCCGTGGCGCTGACACTGTATGTGCACCTTATTTATTCAGAAACTCCCCCCTGAGTTGTTCACTTTTCCAGTTTTATTCAGTGGGTAGAGCCTTTGATTTTGCGATTGAGAGCGTGGCCTGCATCGCCTTTTTATTTTTACACTTTTAGAATTTTTACGTGAGACAAACAATTTGCAGGTTGACAGAAAGTAGGTCATTTCACTTTATTGTTCTCCCGCATGTCATTGAAATGGAAATTATCCAGGTGTATATAAAAAAAGTTGACCTAACTTGACAAAATAAGGCAACCTATCACATTCAATTTGTTAAGTTAACTCAACTAATTTGCTTCAATTAAAGTCAACTTAATACTTTTGCTCATCTAATGAGTAGTCTTTTGAACTTAAAAATTCTTATCAAGACAACTAAAGATTGTCTAGCATTTAGCAATGCAGGGGGCTACAATACTTCTTTAATCTTCTTTCATTCTGTTTGATGTTCAAATTTAACTACATGATATGAACATTATTTGCCTCTTAAAACAAGAGGCAAACATTTAACCCGGATAGGCAAATAAATTGCATACAAAAGTTGCAGTGAGATGCACAACACATCTCAAACATGGTGATGATCAACAAATGTCAATTCCATAAAAAATATTAACTTTTTTATTAAGCCCGTAAATGCAAAGCAATGATCATTTTTTAATAATAGTTACCACATGATTTGTTCAAGCTGCAATGCATGCTGGGAACTGGCACAACATTTTTCAACATAAAATTGTTCAGATAATAATTTGGAAAGTTGGGACAACATTTGGTCAAAATACTTGTGAATCTTAATGAGGTCAACAAAACAACTTTTGTTAGCAACATGTTTAGAGTATTGTTTAGTTCACTCAAGCTACTTTTCACATTTGTTAGAAGAACATTTTGTAAGTTGGATTTTTCATACACTCTATATTAAGTCAAGTCCTCGCAATTGAATTATTTTCTTTTTGTGAACTGTATAAGAACTGCACATTCAGAAAGTTTAGACACTTATGAGTATTGATCCAATGATCCAAATTTACATTTGTTCCTCACTTCAGACATTTTGCTGTAGACCAATATTTTTTTGAGCATTTTGCAATTTTTCGTTTTACTGTTTATAGTTTAGACTTTTACAAAAAATTGGGGTCTGATTTTTCAGTAAAAATATAATTTATTCATGTGATGCAAAGCTGAATTTTCAGCATCATTACTCCAGTCTTCAGTGTCACATGATATTTCAGAAATCATTCTAATATGTTGATTTTCTGCTCAATAAATGCTTATTATTATTATCAATGTTAAAATTGGGCGAATTATCCCTTTAACAGTGGTTTTTAATTCACTTTTGACCCACTGACTGACTGCTCATATACCCACCTCGAGGAATTCCGTCCAGATTACTCTGATTTCTCTTTACTGTCGGAGTAGGTCTGTCTGCTTGCATGACCCGTCTCTCCCGCCAGGCTCATTCCGGTTATCAAGTCTACCAACAGGGCAGTCAATACCGGCCTGCTGAGAGGCCGAATAAGTGAGCCATGAGGAAGAGACTGACACCATTAGTCTCATTTATACCATGATCCCTGGAAGACCACTGGCCCGCTGAGGAAATGAGAATTTCTGTGGGTCTTAAAGAGCAAGATTAGGTGCTCAGTAATGATTGTTTGTTTGTTCTTATGAAGTATTAATGGTGGAAAAAGAAGCACATGCCCAGTGATTTAAAAAAATAAACGCTCTGGTTTAATGTTCTCTCATATTGCTGTGAGGGATTTGGCTGTTTATTAAAGGAACATTGTGCCTGGAGGTGGGCTGGTATATTAACTACTTAGCCTAAGTGACAACAGGAGCTGTGAAAATAATTGGCCCTTGTTTCAAATGGCTTTAAAATGGTTTTTATTGTGAAGAAGTCCCATGTTTTCGGCAGCTCGTGAGGGAACAGAAAGCCCTTGTTTTAAGACTTTCAGCTTTTTCACTGCCTCAAGAGTGTTGTCAACAAAGTCAGCTTCTTTGAGTGTTTTTTTAGCAGTTGCTTTTGTGTCTGCTGGTAAATGGATAAGCTAGAAAATCTAAAGGTAGATTTTTTAAATATTTATACCTAATCATGTTGTTGCTTTTATTGATATTGGAGGTTTTAACACAGGTTGCTATATGTGTAGTAACCAGACACATTACAAGATTCCAGTGACGAGCAATCATTCACAAAAAGACAAAAAGTCAATCAATCAATCTTTCTGTTTGCGAACTACTAGCAAACATTACTAGTACTACAGCTGACGAGCAAAAAACTAAGAGCACTTACATTGAATTCTCTCTACTTTCATTTTTTTCTAGCTTTTTATGGTTGTGAAATGTCTGATTCTAAACTTCCTCATTATTTTTTCCTCATCATTTTTATATTTTTATATACGATTTAAGTATTTATTTGAATCAATTGTCATTTTTATATTTTCAGTTTTCATTGTAATTTTTAATAATTATATTTTGTTTTGCTAATTTAATTGTAGATTTATTTCAGTTTAGTTTAGTAAGAATTCTAGTACTTCAACTTCAACAACTTATTTTACTTTAACTGCCAAGGCAATATTTACAATTTCCATTTAAATTTTTCATCTAATATTTATATTTTATTTCAGCTTTATTTCAATTAACTAAAATAAAAAAAAAAAAAAATATTTTTTAGTTGACAATAACACTGCATAAAAAGCATCTGAGTGACATTTTTTTTTATTTGTCGCTTTAATGTTGCATTTGGTTAGATAACAGTGTTTGATTTATATATATATATATCTATACACATATATATAAACATGATAAATGTAGTTGCAGACAACTACAATTTGGTACTTTTTTGTCTCTGTTTGATGGAAAATAAAGGAGAGACTAAAAATATTAAAACAAATCAAATCAGAGTGATTTGCAAAACCACTTAAGATACTGTTTTATCAACATTTAATCCAAATCCAAAAGGCATTTGAACAACTAGTACATTTTCATATGCTTTAAAGAACAAAGTAGACCTTAGATATCCCAGATATTTCTTATCAAAGGCAGTCAGACTGTTTTGTGTAACTACATTATAAAAGTCATATGCCAGTTGATTAATCTTTACAGTAGAATTGAGTAACTGTACTAAGGAATTTCTGTCAGAATGAAAACATGCATGCATCTAGAAATTCATCATTTTGAAACATGCCTTAAAGGGATGGTTCACCCAAAAATGAAAATCCTGTCATCATTTACTCACCCTCAGGTTGTTCCAAACCTGTGTGAATTTCTTTGTTCTGTTGAACACAAAGGAAGATATTTTGAAGAGTGTCTGCATGACCTACCACATGATTATGAAAAGATTGTTCTAAGAAAGAGGTGTCCTCTATAGGGCGTGATCTCTCATACCAGATATAACTACAGCTGGCTTTTAATCTCATAATGTGGTTGACCTACACTAGCCTATATCACTTACTGTTGTTTTCACCAAGGAAAGCATCAAAGCCATAATCCACGGAGAACAGATGGAATTCCACCTGCTCCATACATTTAGTTGGGACCAATTGATCATTAAAGTAGATTACTATCCCTGGGTATCGTTAACCACCTTAATATGGCTTTAAATTGTGAATGTGCAGTACATTTGCTGGGAGATTGTATCTAAAAAGAAGGGGAAACCTAAATGATGCAGATATTTCCCAAGATGATGCTGCTAAAAGCTAGTACAAAAGTATTAGATCTGTGACACTTTTCTAAAAGTGTGTCAAGCTTCGGTGCTTCCAGTCGTTTTAGATGACCAGGCTATTTTTGAGCATGTGCAAATGTGTGTTCCCTACTTCCCTTGGGTGAAAAGATGCTGGGAATGTCCTAGATGAATCTCTGTGTGCATGTACTTAGCTAAAACTAAACTAGAAATTGTTTAAGGCTCTATAGGCATGTTTCCAGCACCTAAGGCCACGATGGAGCTGGTGAACTCCACGTGGACCCGTTTCTTGAAAGTCTTCATCGCTTCAGGCCGCAGAGGCCCAATGAGATGAATTAGTGCAGTCGTTAATGCTTCAAAGGCGCATTTTAACCTGCTTGCTGACATGCCCTCGGGTGCACATCAAGCCTCTGTGGCTCATCCTGCCCAAAGCGATTGTGCCTCTTTTGATCTGGTGTACTGTGACGCATGGGTTTTATTTTTGGAGGTTTGACGAAACTCTCTGGTAAAAATTATCCCTATTCAATTTGAGGCAACGTGAGGCACCAAACTGAATCACAAAATGCTAACCGTTTAAAACTGCAATGCATTGTAATAGAAATTTTTGGTGGTGACAGTGGCTGGTAACTATTTTTAATTTAATGGCAAATTTAATCTTCACCTTAAAATGAAATCCCATCAAAACAATATAATTTACTGGCATAATTTGTTAACATTTAATTAGTGCATTAGCAATATACAGTAAAACTACAATTTTTTACGGCATTTATTCAACTTTATTTTAGTTCACATTGCACCAAGGCTGCATTTACTTGAAATACAGTAAAAACAGCAATATTGTGAAATATTTGTACAATTTAAAATAACCGTTTTTAATATTTCTTATTATCAGTGTTGAAAACGGTTGTGCTGCTTTAATATTTTTGTGGAAGTCATGATGCATTCTTTTTCAAAATCCTTTGATAAAGAGAAAGTTCAAAAGAACAGCATTTGCTTAAAAATGGAAATCGTTTGTAACACTATGTATGTCTTTACTGTCACTTTTGACCAATTTCATGCATCCTTTTGGAAAAGAAGTATTAATTTTAAAAAATCTTACTGACCCCTAAACTTTTGAGCGGTAGTCCAAGTAGAAAGAATATCTTTTTCGACCAGATTACGGTTAATATTACTACTATTATCTGCTTCCAGCTGCCTACTACACCAGCTCATTAAACTGTGATGGGATGAAGTATTTTAACTTTATAACAAATTATATCAAAGTTTTGTTTTGATCTCTGTAGACCTGGGGTCTCCAACCCTGCTCCTGTAGGGCTACCATCCTGCAGAGTTAAGCTCTAACCCTAATCAAACACGCCTGAACCAGCTAATCAAGGTGTTCATGGTTTGACAGATAAGTGTGATGGAGCAGGGTTGGAGACCCCTACTGTAGATGTGCTTCCTGATTCATGGAAATTCAGCAGTTGTCCTCCTTTTATCATTGCTCATGAAGTGTTTTGTTGTGAGCCTGTGTGTTTTGAGGGGAGCGCTGAGATCGTTGATATTGATTCGCCTAGTTTCCGGTGCTTGTTTGGAGAGACGTCGGTGTGAAATGCCTGACCGACTAAACAGCTCTGGCTGGCCGCTCTCTGCTCATTGTTCTAATTACAACAAGCATAGTTCGGGCCCCCTATGTTTTGCTTTCCGAATGTGTGTCTTTGTGTGTCCTGCCTCTGCTCCACAATGGAGCATCCAGAATGTTGTCTTGAGGGCTTTGTTGTCCAGTGTGCTCACACGAAGACCCCGAGGCCATCCGACATGAGAATAGCCCTCTGGATGATCATGTCCCATCATTTGTAATTTTGTGTTTTCTGCATTAGTACACACAAAAAATGTATACAAAATCCCTTATTCACTGCATGTCTCGCTGCTCACAACTTCCTGTAGGATGAGGTTATTTAGGTGTTTGTTGATTTCAAACAGAATTGCTTTACATTTCTCTTTCTTTTGCCCCCTAGAACTGAAACACATTGTTCAGTTGGACCTGGACCTCAAATTCAGAAGCAACGTCAGAGACCTCTTCCAAGAGTTTAACCATTTCCCTTCTAAGGCCGTCATTGGAATTGCACGTGAAATGCAGCCAGTTTACAGGTATCTGACGCAGCTCTATTTACAGTAATTTGATCTCAAATTTATATGCTCCCTACTGATATATCTGGTGCATTCATATAAAAAAGTATGAAAAAAGGGCTATGCAATATATATTGCCATATCAGCCATATATACACTCACCTAAAGGATTATTAGGAACACCATACTAATACTGTGTTTGACCCCCTTTTGCCTTCAGAACTACCTTAATTCTACGTGGCATTGATTCAACAAGGTGCTGAAAGCATTCTTTAGAAATGTTGGCCCATATTGATAGGATAGCATCTTGCAGTTGATGGAGATTTGTGGGATGCACATCCAGGGCACGAAGCTCCCGTTCCACCACATCCCAAAGATGCTCTATTGGGTTGAGATCTGGTGACTGTGGGGGCCATTTTAGTATAGTGAACTCATTGTCATGTTCAAGAAACCAATTTGAAATGATTCGAGCTTTGTGACATGGTGCATTATCCTGCTGGAAGTAGCCATCAGAGGATGGGTACATGGTGGCCATAAAGGGATGGACATGGTCAGAAACAATGCTCAGGTAGGCCGTGGCATTTAAACGATGCCCAATTGGCACTAAGGGGCCTAAAGTGTGCCAAGAAAACATCCCCCACACCATTACACCACCACCACCAGCCTGCACAGTGGTAACAAGGCATGATGGATCCATGTTCTCATTCTGTTTACGCCAAATTCTGACTCTACCATCTGAATGTCTCAACAGAAATCGAGACTCATCAGACCAGGCAATATTTTTCCAGTCTTCAACTGTCCAATTTTGGTGAGCTCTTGCAAATTGTAGCCTCTTTTTCCTATTTGTAGTGGAGATGAGTGGTACCCGGTGGGGTCTTCTGCTGTTGTAGCCCATCCGCCTCAAGGTTGTGCGTGTTGTGGCTTCACAAATGCTTTGCTGCATACCTCGGTTGTAACGAGTGGTTATTTCAGTCAAAGTTGCTCTTCTATCAGCTTGAATCAGTCGGCCCATTCTCCTCTGACCTCTAGCATCAACAAGGCATTTTCGCCCACAGGACTGCCGCATACTGGATGTTTTTCCCTTTTCACACCATTCTTTGTAAACCCTAGAAATGGTGGTGCGTGAAAATCCCAGTAACTGAGCAGATTGTGAAATACTCAGACCGGCCCGTCTGGCACCAACAACCATGCCACGCTCAAAATTGCTTAAATCACCTTTCTTTCCCATTCTGACATTCAGTTTGGAGTTCAGGAGATTGTCTTGACCAGGACCACACCCCTAAATGCATTGAAGCAACTGCCATGTGATTGGTTGATTAGATAATTGCATTAATGAGAAATTGAACAGGTGTTCCTAATAATCCTTTAGGTGAGTGTGTATATATATATATATATATATATATATATATATATATATATATATATATATATATATATACTAGAGGTGGGCATAGATTCATTTTTTTAATCTAGATTAATCTAGATTAATATTGAAATTAATCTAGATTAATCTAGATTAAAATGGCTCATTTGAATTCTCCCGAAGGCATTCAGAATATGTGTGCTACCCAAATAATGACTAAAAGTAAGTCTTTGAGAATAGTTTGCCTCGCGTAGGGATGTGCATTTCTGCCAAAAATGCCATTCGACAATCGAGGAGCAAAAGTCGAATATCGTTAAAAAAAAAAAAAAAAAACCCGCAATGACAGAAAGGGAGGCCAATTTCATCTTTAGCGATTTGTCATCAAACAAACTGTTTATTAATTGAACAAGTAACATGTTTTCGTCCTTTTTTTTAACATAGTAGGCTAATTGGAAGAAGAAAAAAAACAATAGCCTACGCACGACAGTCCGTTTTTGCATCGCCAATGCTCGTTAGGTCAAAAAATAATGTCATCATATGTCATAAGAATTTTATGTGAACCTGCCTTGTTACTGCAATAGCCTCATTTTTAAACAAATTAGTTTCAATCAATGTAAACTATTCGTGTGATTATGCCACTGCGCAATACACGCGCAATACACACACAATGTAGCCTATTACCTGAATGAAATGAAATCGAATGTGTCGTCCTGTGGAATCATTCATTCACAGACAGCTTACGAAGATGTTCAACTAATAAAGATCTTCATCGCTGGCAAAAATATGATGCATTTGCAGATTTGCATTCACTAGACTAGACTGTAGATCGGCCACTTCATCCAACGCTCTGATGCTCTTAAATCTTCCTGTTTCGACTCCGAGTGTGAATTGAAAGCGCTTCAGACGATTCAGTGCGCGAGGAACTGAACAGATCAACTGATTCGCGAACCGATTTAGACAGATCATCTGACAACTTGTTTGATGAAGTCTTTGAACAGAATCGACTCAAAAGAGTGATTCATTTGTAAATGAGCATCGCTCATGCCCATACAAAGGACACAGCGCGCTTGGAATAAACTCATTTAACAACGTATTGCATTAAAATAAAGTAACGAGAGGAACGTCGCCCAACGTAACAAAGTAAAAGTACACCTTGTGTCCCTGACAGGAAAATACCCTACTGCGCGACCTGTGACAGTAGGCGCGGCGTCATACTACACATTAGAATTGCGCGAAAATATAACGATATTCGAAAAAGCTATTTATGATCCCAACCCAACTTTGATTAACGGCGATATTTTTTTTATCGCCCGATAAGAGTCTCACGTTAACGCAGCACGTTAACGCCGATAACGGCCCAGCACTAATATATACATATATATATATATATATATATATGGTGCCATATCAGTTATGATGTTTGTTTTAAAATGCATCGGTATTGCTTGAAATTGTACATGCTCATTTCCCCTATTTAGGCTGTATATTTAAATTTAATTTGCCATCATCGATATATTTTGTTTTAATGATAGTTTTATAATTTTATAGTTGTTAAATGCAAAGCAAATCTTCATACATTATAATGTTGGTTTTAGTGTTTTATTTGTAATTTATTTAGACAAAATAGAATTTTAATACCTGTGAAAATAGCATGAAAATAATGTTAATTTTGGTGCATTCCATTATTTTAGTATTATTTATATTGTATTATTGTATTTTTATATTTTGAATTTGTTTTTATTTTAATATTTTCAGCTTCATTAAAATTATGTGCTTTTGTCATTTTTATCAGTTAGCTTTTTTCCCTTAAGCTAATTTTCAAATTTAGTTGTAACCTTGAGTTTTAGTTGCCAGGGTTTTCATTGTAATATTCATATTTAATTTCAGCTTTATTTCAATATCAAAATGAGTTTTAGTTAACAATAACAAGACTGATGCATTCCTACTAAAAAGTACCATAATACCACTTTGTTTTGTATTTTTCATGGTAATACCATGATAATTTGGAAGTGTACCATGGTCGTACAATGATAATTATGATGGTACATATGTAGTACCATGGGATATATCAATCTCATGGTATTACCATCTGATACAGTAGTACCATCACTGTACCATGGTATCATCAGAGTACTGTTTTGGCAATACTAGGCAAGTATTAATTGGCTCTGTACTTGTATTTTGTCAATGACAATAAAGTGAATCTGAATCTGAAGTATTAATACTGTACATCAAACATGCAAAGGAAATAGAGGTGCAGGCTTATTTTGCATTTAAGTTTAGCAAAGCTGTGACATTGGCAGCTCTTGCACAGTCCTACTGGACAGTTTGATCAAAACAAATCCTGAAAGAGACTTTGGACAACCAGTTCTCCTGTTTCCCTTGCCAAAGAGAATGTCGAAATGGTCAATGCCGTTTGTCTTGTGGCCTGGCAAAGTCAAGCTTGACATGAAACTGGGACACATTTGGAACCGAATAGAGGTGGAAGCCTTTTCACAGTCTTCTCCGAGAGCCATCATGTGACTGGAGCTATTAGAAACGGTTTCCTGAAAGCTCTAGTGTTTATTCACCGAAACATGAGGAGGAAGCTCAGATTGGTGATAGGAATTCACAAAGGAGGCTGTTTTTTTCTTTTTCTGGTTGCTTTCTAATACTGTGTTTGTGTGGTTCTGTGTATGTGTGAGAGATGGATAGACTGTAGGGGCTTGTGGCCTTAAAAACCCACACAAACCTTACAATGATGTTGTGTCTCCTTTGAAGCAGACTTTCCTAGTTCATAAATCTTTCAGTCTCCTCATACAGGTGCAAATGTATTAAACAGCTTTAATTATTAGGATCTTTAACCGAAGGTGTCGAGACCCGCATGATTGAGCATACAGGCATGTTTTATCAGATTAATGTTGATTTTGATTGAGCAGTTACCATAGCAGTTCACCGGATGACATTAGATGGCGCTATAGTCACCTTGTTGGATGTTGTTACTTGTTTCCCTTTTCAGTTGTCCTACATTTCCATTAGATATGCCTCACTTCAGGGCCTCAAGTCAAGTCTTTGTGTAAGAAAACAACAGCAAATTGTAGCAAGCACGTCTCTATGTTAAAAGAATAATTCACCAAATTGAAAACCTTGGTCCTTGCCATATTTTACTCACTCGATTTGTCATTTTAGGTCATATTACTATTTGTTCTCCTTCCTTGAAAGCATATTGACATAATTGGATTGTCATCCCAAAAAAAGCGGCATCATTTCAGGCTGAGTCAAGATGGAACAAAAAGTAAGTTGGGGGTGCACTGTTCCTTTAAGTAACAGAACTCCAAGTAAACTCCATTTAAACTCCACAGTTGTTACTGTATTTTTGATCAAATGAATGCAGCCTTGGTGAGCATAAGATAGTTTTTTCAAAAACATTTAAAAAAAAATCTTACCGACCCCAAATTTTTGATAGTTGGTTGCTGTGAATGATGATCTTACTTCAGAATTTTGTATTTGACCGAACAGAATCAAGTATTCCAGAGAGCGGTGTCAATTGAAGAGTGATATTGATAGATGTGACCTTTCCTTACCTGGTGTTATAAATTCATTATTGTTTTTCCATTCACCCATACAAGCATTTTGAAATCTAACATTTCATCATTTTTTGTCAATACATCTGTCTATT